AACTGTTGACTAGCTTGCTGTTGAACTGACTGAGGAAACTGTTGACTAGCTTGCTGTTGAACTGACTGAGGAAACTGGTGACTAGGTTGTTGAACTGACTGAGGAAACTGGCGACTAGCCTGTTGAACTGACTGAGGAAACTGGTGACTAGCTTGTTGAACTGACTGAGGAAACTGGTGACTAGCTTGTTGTTGAACTGACTGAGGAAACTGTTGACTAGCTTGTTGTTGAACTGACTGAGGAAACTGGTGACTAGCTTGTTGTTGAACTGACTGAGGAAACTGTTGACTAGCTTGCTGTTGAATTGACTGAGGAAACTGGTGACTAGGTTGTTGAACTGACTGAGGAAACTGGCGACTAGGCTGTTGAACTGACTGAGGAAACTGGTGACTAGCTTGTTGAACTGACTGAGGAAACTGGCGACTAGCTTGTTGTTGAACTGACTGAGGAAACGGTTGACCTGCTTGCTGTTGAACCTGCTGAGTAAACCATTGACTAGCTTGCTGTTGAACCTGCTGAGGAAACCATTGACTAGCTTGCTGTAAGGATGGCTGGCGCGAAACAGACGTTCCGAAGCTTTGCGAGATCCCGAAGCAAAGATGATTCGAAACACTGATCCGAAGCGTGATTCAAAACACCCACGTCACGTGACAACGGCTAAATGAAGCGTCTAAGTGTTTCATCAGGTGGAGTGCTCCTCCGAATCAGGGTTTCATTGATTGGTCGGTTTGGGAACAAATCACACAATCACACAGTATAAAAGTTTTGTCAACGCATTTTCATATCGTGGGTTTTTGTGAGAGGAGTTTGGTTTTGAGATAGCGGATTTTTGGTGATATAGTGACATTTATAGTGCGATTTGTTTAGTTATATTTAGGATTTAATTTACATTTACACATTGACTTAGAGACACACAGAGTACATATAGTGACACATTAATAGATGCATTGATAGAAATATATATATATATATATATATATATATATAGATTAATAGATAGATACATATATTACAGATACATATAGATTATTAGATAGATAGGCTACATATTAGATAGATAGATAGATAGATAGATAGATAGATAGATAGATAGATAGATAGATAGATAGATAGATAGATAGATAGATAGATAGAAATGGAGGCTCCACAGAAGAGATGCCGTACATCTGTGGTGTGGGAGCATTTCCATTTGGAAACCCCAAATAAAGTGAGATGTGTGTATTGTGATCGGCAGCTAGCCTACTGCAACAATACATCATCCATGATGCGCCATTTGAGGAGCATTCATCCTGCCATTCTGCAGGGTGCAGAGGATGGTAGTGTTCCCCCTGTACCAAGGCCTGCTACTGACATCCTGCCAAAGCCCTGGATGCTGAAAAGCACATCACACTGGAGTGTGCTTCACTGATGCGTTCAAACACAACTCCTGGTGAGTTTCAGTCTATGTTATCTTATGTAATGTGATTCATGAAATTTATACTTCATATGTGTTGTCAGTTTATGATTTGTTACTAATTGCCGTTTTCTTTTAATTCAGAACCACAAATGTCAACATCAGGCCCATCATCATCAACACCAGTTGAAACACAAGACAGTTTATGGGAACATTTTGACAATCGTATCCGTGAGACCCAGATGATACACAATCCTACAGCTGATGCCACAGTGGAAGTGAAAAAATACCTCAGCGATGCGTTTTTGCCCAGAACTCATGATCCTCTAACTTACTGGAAAGAGAGAGCAGTAATCTTTCCTCATTTGTATGTCCTAGCTAAAAAATAGCTTTGTATGCCAGCAACAAGTGTCCCTTGTGAGAGAATTTTTTCAAAGGCTGGAGAAATTATCTGTAAAAAAAGAAGTAGGCTGAGTCCTTCAACAGCAGAGAAATTAATATTTTTGAATAAAAATCTATAAGAAAGGGAGACATTGTGGCTTGATTTATTTTTATTAATATTCATTTTTCATGACCAAAATCACATTATGCAATGTGAAGAGACTACAGGTTACAAGCTTCATATATTACAAAAATACAATAATAAAAAAAAAAAACCAACACATTTTTTTATTAGCTCTTTGTAAAGGTTGTTTCAGATCAACACCTGCAAGTGACCACTAGGTGTCACCGTGGAGACGGGTTTCGAAGCCTCGAAACAAAATGGCACATTTGCTTCGACTGTTTCATTGCTTCACGAAGCCTCGATCTGCCCATCACTAGCTTGCTGTTGAACTGGCTTCTGAAACCGCTGGTCAGTTTGCTGGAACATCAGAGCTTGAGGATTCTGGGGCAGATCACTCAAGCACAGAACCAAACACAAAGTGCCAGAGACTGAACAGCACACCAACTTCCTGCCATTGTTCAACATCTAGTCACACTGCTGAGATGCTGCCCTTTGGTCTTTTTGTAGAATATTTCTACAGACTTTGGGTAATTAATGATAATCCCTCCCTCTTCATTAATAGTCATGATTCTCCAGACTTGCACTCCAGAGTGGGAGTTTATGCAACTAGGTGATTCCAATTTTCTTGTTTTTCCACCCTTTTGAACATACATAAAACCACATTGAGCTGATTTCAGAATAGTATGCTAGTACTATTTCTGCCATTCTGAATTCAGCCTTATTTTATCCTTCAGTAGCTGAATATTATATTAGATGTTTTAGCTATTCTGGATTGTTTTTTTCTTTGAAACACATCATAGAGTTCTCATGGCAACAGACCTGTATATTCAGGGTATGATTGAATAACAACAATGGACTAATAACAGAAACGTTTTTCCTTTGATATTTTCGTGGGCGGACGACAACATAGGATGACCACCTCTCCCGCATTCTGCGGGACAGTCCCGAAATTGTGAGTTTTGTCCCGCAAGACATAAATAGTGTCCCGCATTTCAGTTATGTCTGTATTATTATTATTATTAATCTTTTTTCCATCCCTAAAATTACAATACCACAGTAAGAAATATAATAAAAACTGTGCCTGGCATTTAAAAATCTATTTGTGCAGCCGTCATGTTCAAGCTGTGGAAATAACCAACCAACATACGCAATCGTAGAGAGGTTTTCCCGCTGACGACAACCAGGGCTTAATTTGAGCCGGAACACGCCGGAACATGTTCCGGCACCTCCGACGTTGGATCCGGCACCTCCTGTGTCACTATGGCAAATTAATAATTACTGTTTGTGTAGTGTTCAATGTTGTTATCTGTCTTGTTAGTCTTTATTCCCCATTGAAGTTCCACAAAAATCTTGATTGCGCAGTTTCGATGCGTTTTTGAGGTGAATTTTCAGGGTAAAGTGGGTCGCACACCGGACAAGAAGCGCAGCGCCACGTCTTTAAAATTCTAACACATTATTCTCTATGTACACACACCGGCAGCGCCATTCGGCGTTGTTAATGTAAAAACTGTCTGACTTCACCCTGTGCTGCATGCAATATACATTTAGTTTTACATTCATTTACAGAAATCAGTTGCTTGAATGAAAATTGCTGATGTTATCGGGTTTTCAGGTGAGATTCTCAATTCATTAAGTTAACGGACACTCTGAGGTGAAGTGTTCAGAGTCTGCAGACTAGCAACGATTGTACAGTACAATCATAACATAATACAGACATTATCTTAATTCCAAAATGTCCTTAAACATAACAATATTGCTGGCCATAAACTGAGAAAGTGCGCGTCCGGTGTGCGATACCTCGAGTTGTCCTAGACGCAATGCGGCGCTTCTCGTCCGGTGTGCGACCCCCTTGCTGCTTGTGAAAACGTTGTTTATTTTTACATTTTGCACCCATGTAGTGCATGTTCTGAAATTAAAATAAACATTGCCCTGATACACACACAGTGTTGTTAAGTTTTTTTTTAGCCAGAAGCTACATAGCTTTTTTTTTTTTTTTTTTTTGTTACCTCCAACCCCCGTTTTGAGTCACCGGATCCAACCCCCCCTCTGTGCTCCGGGACCTCCCACTTTACAAATTAAGCACTGACGACAACTAAATGGACAGCGCAAAGAAATAAGTGCAGGCCTCAAAGTCTGTAAACACAGCTATACCAGCAAGAATTTCATCTCACATTCTGGATAAGAACCTCAAGAGCTGCTCAAATTGATGATTTAAAGCATGTAATCATCCATCCTGTTGGCAAATATTTCCAACGAACATGCACCGATGCCATGGATGCTCGGGCGCCACCTACAGAAATGGTCGAGCAACTACGGCAAAATCGGCTAAGCAGAGAAAGTTTAAATCACACCTGCTAGCGCACTTCTCAAAATGTTTACGTACTAGGTCAGTAGGCGGTAGGGTACACCATGTTTTGCAGCTGTTCAAACACATGAGCATCTACTCTATGAAAGCAATCTGGTCAAATGTGTTTGACTACCTCTGGAAGTGGCCAAAAATAGACAAGCTCCAAAAAAGAAATTAGCCCCTTTTTACACCACAGTCCACTTGTGACCTGATGTACAAAAATGCTTCTTAGTACCAGGTGTAAACAAGGCCTTGGACAGCTACCTAGTTGGGATACAACTGTTAAGGGATTAATGCTTAAATGAAAGCAGTCTACTTTTCAATAAACATTACTGGGACTAGCCTGGAATAAAACCACTATCAACCTGCACTCATCCTTTATCCCAAGATATGAGTCTATACTTGCGTGACTGTAAAAAAAGCATTACAAAAAGCCAACAAGTGACCTTAGAGGGAGTTTGGCCATCAATACATGCAGTTATGCTAGTCCAGCCATAAAGTCATATGTAAAGCCTCAGACAGTAGCTAAAACCTTCATTTGATATGTGAAACATGAACAGGGGCCCAAGTTAACAACTAGAACTTGGCAAATAGTAAAGTTAAATGGCTTATGCAGAAACTTGGCTTGTTTAATTCAAGTCAAGAATCTCAATGCACGAAAGAAAAAGGTTTAGTAGTGCAGCCCTAGAAGTCAAACTGAGAACAGTCATGAAACATCCAACTCCAGTCAGAAATGAATACCAAAGAGAAACATGTTGAGTTTCATGAAGTTTATTAAAACACTAAAATTCACTTGACCAGGTTAACTTCTCCACTAGACACCACAGTTTGCCCACTAGAGATGGTCTTGATGTGCGTGTCTCTTCCTGTAAAAAGTGGTAGAAGCATGAGGGGCATTTAAATAAGTTCTCAGTTCCTGAAGTCAACTTACAGCAAGCACTCACTTTTCCTAGTGCAGCTTTGCTCACAGGAGCCAGAGGAGGGATGGCACACCGCTGTACTACAGTGGATGAAGATCTAACAGAGGGGGAAAGGGTTAAGCCATAGAATTCACTGTAAAAAGCACTAATATTAAGGGTTGAGGTAAGGCTGCAGAGCATACGGTTTCCTGCAGAGGAGCCAGTGATGCTGGATCTACAAATGTGAACATCTTCACAACAAAGCGCTTGTAGTGGGTCGGGAACTGAAGACCAGATGATCCAGCCACTGGAACCAATGTGGTCAGGTAACGATCATCCTGGTTAGGGCATCTGAAAGGCAAAGAGGCAGTGAGAAATGCCTTACAGCACACTAGATGGATAAAGACGGGCCTTACTCACCCATCAACCAGAAGATCCCATTGGGGTAGACTGAGTGGACTGGGGGTTGATGTCGCCCAGCAACGTCCCAGCATCAGGACAATGTTGGGGTCGGTCCTCTCCAAAATGTGCACCCCAACATACACAGGCTCCCACAGGACTTTTGTAACTGGATAATCAGCATCACTGTAGTAGGACGTGTACGCCTCGTCAGGTTCGCGGCTCGATCTGGCATCCCCATCCAGAGCGCTGGTCTCTGCACGCATGGTTGATCAACGGGTACTCGTTGCCCTGCCAGAAAGAGTGATGTACACGATCACGCAGTCTAGAGCTCCTTCCACGAGAAGGCTCTACGCGCCTAAATGGTCGGTGTTCTCCAAGTGGTGCACCGACAGAGATCTGGACCCGCGGACATGCGAGGTTGCGCATCTGCTCACTTTCCTACAAGAGCTGATGAATAAAGGGAGGTCCCCATCCACGCTCAAAGTTTATGTGGCGGCCGTGGCGGCGTTCGCAGAATCGACGCACGGCCAGTCACTGGGAAGACATGAGCTGGTCATCCGCTTCCTTAGGGGAGCTAGAAGGATGAATCCGCCGCGCCCCCCGTCGGTTCCTATGTGGGATCTTTCCTTGGTCCTCGAGGCCCTGAAAGCCTTCCCATTTGAGCCACTAGACTCCGTGGAGTTAAAATACCTATCACTAAAAAACGTTTCCTGACCGCACTGTCATCAGTCAAACGTGTGGGGGACCTGCACGCGCTGTTGACAGCGCGACGTGTCTTGAGTTCGGGCCGAATGACTCTAAAGTCATCCTCAAACCTAGACATGGCTATGTTCCAAAAGTGATGGGCACTCCTTTCAGAGCGCAAGTCATTTCACTGTCGGCTCTGCCAGCGTCAGACAGTGAGACAGACGTGAATCTCCTTTGCCCGGTCAGGGCGCTGAGGTTTTACACTACGCGCTCCGCATCTTTCAGGTGCACGGAGCAGCTGTTTGTTTCGTTTGGTGGGCGCACCAAAGGTCTCGCTGCCTCGAAACAGACTCTGTCCAGATGGATAGTGGATGCTATAGCGGCCGCTTACGCGTCAAAAGGTCTGCAATGCCCTCTGGGCATCAGGGCTCATTCCACTAGAGGCATGGCCTCATCGTGGGCGTGGTCCAGCGGGATTTCTATCCACGACATATGTGTAGCGGCGGGCTGGAGCTCCCCGTCTACCTTTGTCAGGTTCTATAACCTAGAAGTTCCCGCCCTGCAGGCTAAACTTCTGTCAGTCTAAGCGAGTTGTGCGTTCTGCCCAGATATATCATGCTCAGACCACTCTCATGTGACTCAGCTCTCCTGGTTGAGCTGCACTAGTAGGGATGTGCTAAATGCTTATACAGACCAGTGCTCTGCTCTGTATTCCCTATGTGTGCTTATGTACGAGTGATGGCCCGCGTGGCTGGCCACCTTATTTTTCCACTTATTGGGTTCCCCGAGAAACCTCGGCGACTCATGGGTGGTTGCTTGGTGCGCACGGCGTTGACAAAAAGTTCCCGTAGCGTAAGCTAAACTTACGCAATACGAGAGAACCTCTCGTAAGAGAACGTTCTCGGTTACTAAAGTAACCTCGGTTCTCTCTAGAGAGGGAACGAGTATTGCGTAACCGGCCGTGCTCGCGCCACGAGCGACTTCGCTTCAGTCGACGAAAACCAGGGAATTCAGCCTACAGCCCCTTCTTTTATACGCTAAGCCACGCCCATTCTGGCGGGCTATGACGCTATGAAGGCGCGGGCGCCCTTCATTGGGCGTGACGTCACGCGGGGCTCACTGGTAGGCTGCAGCAGATGCCCGCAGGGCAGCCAATGAGCACGCAAGACTGCCTGCTCTAGGTCTGCTAGCTGCTGCACTGCGTTGACAATGAATACAAAATTAAGGATAATTTTTTTGCTTGTCTCGAGAAGATGAATCTTTCCCATAGCGTAAACTAAACTTACGCAATACTCGTTCCCTCTCTAGAGAGAACCGAGGTTACGTTAGTAACCGAGTACGTTTCCTTCTGATGTGTTCTGCCATAACACTATCAAACAGTCCAATCGTCTCTACAAGTTTCAAGAAATTTCCGTTGTTTTCTTGACTTCTCGTATGAGTTCAGTATAATGGATAAATTTTTCCAGTTATTGACACCGTCTTTAGCCAGAGCAGACGTTCTCTCGCTTTCACTAAAAAAGTTTACACCAAAAGCAAAACATAGCCGTCCCCGTTAGTTAATGTGCGACTGTAATGAGCCTCTGAAAATCTCCTATTCCCACTGTCCAGTGGCGTAGACAGGGGAGGGGCCGTGGGGGCACTGGCCCCTCCTGAAAACTGATTGGCCCCCCAGTGTGCCCCCACCCTTCTACTTGTCTGTCACTCAAAAATTCAAATCATAATCTTTCAGTTTGTAGTAGAATAATTCATGATTCCGCGTCGCGAGAATAGCGAATAGCGATTTCTTTTTCCTTTTTTTTTTTTACCCAGCGCCAATATTTCCGCCCGTGTTCTCTGATTTGTTACTTAGACTTGAGTGAACTAACATTCAGCCAATCACAGCGCGAAGTATCTATTGGGTGCGTCTGCCATGTGCTTCAAATCTCTTGTTGCTCTTGCGAATTTTCGTCTTCGTTTAGTTGCAGTTTGGCCGTCTAATGTATTCCATGCATGCACCCCAGAAAAAAGCAGAGGACGATTACATCATTTTTTTGACACACACTGTAAGTATAATGTGTTACAGTATGTCGCGATGACATGAATCACACGTAAAGTGTCCTTGTTATGATGTAACCTACTGTAACGCAGTAAGACGTGAAGACAACAGAACCCGAATGGACCTCGTCGCGCCGGATTGTGCCGAGTGTTAAATGCTCTCCTACTTGTTGCTTTGGATAAAAGCGTCTGTTAAATGAGACATAACAGATTATTCCCAGCAGACACACAACGTCATAAGACGTTGATATTTGGTTAAATTTTAGTTGCTACGTCGGGTGACCAAAATTCAATGTAAATTCAACATCTAAGGTCAATGTTAAATTGATGTCCAATACCGAATCCTTTTATTTAGGTTTTATTGATATATTTTATAAAATGTCTATTGTATAAAATTACTGTAGGCTAGATGTAATCTACTCATTGAACACTTTTTTTTGTCCAACTGTTAAGAAGTAACGTTAAGATAAAAGTTATTGTTCAAGTGTAGTTTAACTGAAATATTGTAAATATCATAAAATATCTTTATTTCATAAAAATAAAGTATAGATGTCCACAGTTGTCTGAAAGTCCCAAGTCCTGCAATATTTTTTTTTATTTCGAGTATGATTTCACAAAAATAGGTTGCTGTAAGCTATCATGGCATGTTCCCAAAATTGGCACTAGGGTGCTGTAAAATGCCAATTGCTATTCCATCTAGAATTTATTATTATGAACATCACCTTTCAGTCCCTCCAGAAAAACGCGATTATGCGATCGCATGATTCAATGCATAATCAGCCAAGGCTGCATATTTATGCGGGGGCATTTTTTCAAATACCGTATAAATTGCCGATTTCCACGCAAAATATGCGGGGCTTGATTTCATAATCCCCGCATTTTTGTTGCAAAAAAGAAAGTCACATATCTTAGCAGAAAGTTGAAAAATGTTGCGTTTACTTCACACAAGAGCAGCCATTTCCCCCTGTTGCCATGGGAACGTTATGAAGTGACGTAATTACGCGACATGAACATCATTGAAATTCATAAATTCATATACATTTTTTCATATTTTATTTATTCATTTTTACAGAAGTTGTAGCATTTTCCTTTTGTAAAGCTACAGAACTTGTTTGACTCATCAATGTTTTGTAAGTTTGAGCCATGTGTTTATTAAGGTCTGAAATAAAACAAAATTAAATATTCCAGCACTTTCTGTGATGTAGTATTTTTGCTTATCATAGGAAGTAATAAGAAATAGCTCTTTACATTAAGATAGTAGCCCAGTGAGAACAGGGTGTTGGGGAATCACTTTTTCTCTCTTTTTCATCAAACCGCAGTTTTTGCAAGTTCCCGCAATTTTATCACATAAAATTGCATAAATATCCTGCATATTCCATCGCCGCATAATCAAGGATTTAAAAAAGATTTATTATATACAATTTTATTACAGTTATATGAATTCATTAATTGTGTATTTATTATATGAATGATTAATATAATTATGCATTTATATAAACAAGGCTGTTCTATTATTATTTGTGAGTTGTACACTAATACATTGGATTATTTTATTTGTTACAGTTTTTCTTTCACTTTTGTAAAGTGAAAAGTTAATATAAATTGTATTTTATTGTTTTGATTTAGACCAGTGAATAACTGCTATTAAAAGATAATAGGGTATCACTGTGTATTGCTGATTTTAAAGCTTACTGAACTTGAAATGATTTGGATATCTACAGTTCTATATAAATACACAACATAAGAATGGCCCCTCTGTAATAATTGTGGCCCCTCTTGTGCCCCCCAGTTGAAAAAATCCTAGAATCGCCCCTGCCACTGTCTTTTGGGAAAATAATGGCTTTGGTTTGATGTGGCCCTCCCTGTACCAAAGTGTCTTTAAGTCCAGGATTTAATACTGCTGGCCATTTTTCGGGATCTTGACATTTCCTCACCTCCCTGCTGTTCCGTCTGTCCCTCATCAGACGAGCTAGTTACGGCTACACTTACACTGTCTGCCTCCTCCAGCACATTAGCAACGTCCACATCTTTGGTGTCATTGGCATGGTCGCTGCTGATGCTTACGCTGCTGTCATTGACTTTCAGCGATGGATTTCAAAAAGCAGCATCTTTGTTTCTCCAGTGCTTTCTCTTTTAAAAGCCATCGTCTTTTGTACTCATGTCCAGATAATTGTATCCGTTTTGACATTTTTAGATATACACTAAAGAATTTGCACGTAGACTGATTGATGAAGTGGGCAGGGCACGGCCGGGCGGGAGTTTTTATTCTTTTATTCTAAGTTTATTTAAATTTAGAATAACTTATGGTGTGTATTTATTTTTTGATAAAGTGCAATAATTCCAAACGAATGTCAAATAAATAAATAAATAAAAATTCTCTCTCTCGCTCCCATCCCAGTATCAATCCAAAATAGTATTCAAATCAGGCTCAGCTCCAGCTTTGAGATCTAAGGTGGGAAGTGATATGCATGGTGCGGAGGTG